GTGCGGCGCGGCAAGTATGCGGCGATACAATGGCAGTGCGGCGCAGCAAGCATACGGCGATGGGTTTTGCGGTCCAGCTAGAAAATGGACGGCAGAGGACGGGGAACAGTCGGTGTGGAGAGTCACCGCAACATGACCTCAGGGTACCTGAGAGCCTTTGATCACCCAAAACCGACCTGGCCAAACAAGGTGGCACGTGCCCAGGGCGAGGTGGCGCGACCCAATCAATGACGGATGGCCCGGCGCAGCCGCTCTCTTACATAAGCGTCGTGCCGCACAGTTCTTTGCCTTGCCCCCTTGCCCCAGCGGCACCCACCTGCGTTTTGAAGTGGAACAGCTCCTCCATCGGCCCCAACCCGGCCTTTGTCGCCAGCTGGAGCTGGGTGCGCGCATTCTGGGCGTCGTGACGCGCCTGAGAGGGCCAGGGGGAAGGGCGGGGGGGCGCGGGGGTGGAGGCGGGAGGGTTGAAAGGTCTGGCATGTGAGCGGGGTTGAAGGTAGGAGGACAGAGGGTGGTCGGGCGGGGTGCGAGCATGGTAAGGAGGAAGAAAGACGATAAGAAAGGGTCGAGAGGGGGTTAGCAGGGGTGCTGGATCAGGGGAGGAGAATCCAGGGACGCAGGAGAAATTGATGGGAATCATGGCCATTTGCTGCTCCATCGCGTACTGCATGCGCTTGGCGTATCAGTTGCACATTCACATCAAGTAGTGCAATCGACAAGGTGCGAGGTGATTCGGCACAAGGTCGCAGGAGGCCATCACTCACCTCTATGAAGAAGTTTGCATAGGAGATGAGCAGCGCCGAGTTGCCGGGGTGGCGCGCCATCCCACACTGTTGGGAGGGGCGTGGGCCAGGGATATGCCCTTAGAACGAGGAAGGGTGATGGTGGGGCGGCTCGCGCGTGCCAATACACAAGGTCGCCCATGCAGAGGTGCAGTGCTGGCCGCAGGAAACACAGTCGGGCGGCGGAGCAGGGGGCAGGCCGACAGGATGCCAGGAGAGCATGGCGATGTGCCACCACGCCGCCCCTAGCACAGTGGTACCGCTTGTGATGAGGGAGGTGAGCATTATCAGTCGTCTGCATAGATATAACCCCAAAGAAGACATGCTCATAGCCCCACATACACACCGACACATGCACGCGAGCGCACGCACGCACACGCACACACACGCACACGTGCACACTCACTCCTCCCCCCCCCACACACAAGTACTAAACCAGCAACCTCGCTGTCGTCCGAGGGCCTCACCATGAGCACAAACTCCCCAAATTCTGTCGCCTCTGGGACTGGCACGCCGTCCCAGTCCCACCGCCGCATGGACCGCGACAGGATCTCCACCTAATGGCGGTTGACGGCGATTGGGGGCGGTTGTCGGCGGTCGGCGCAGGGCTGAGGGCGTGTCCACACACACACGAGCACGAGCAGCGGCGAACGGTACAGTGTGAACGCAGCAAGGTCTTCGCCCCGTGGTCCTGCTTCCCACGTGCAGCGCAGCACCACCATCTGCTCGGTTCATCCTGAAATTTCCCTCCCTGCCCCGCTCAAGCCCGCGGCGACGTTTCGCTTCGATGCCCCGGTCTGTCCACGGCTGCCCACCCCACGAGCGTCTCCCAAAGCGCCCCCCACCCCCACCCCCACCACCGCTGACCTCCCAGGGGCTGCTGAAGAGGTACACATGCTTCGGGTCCCGCAGCGACTCAGGATCCGCCTGCGCCTCGTGGAGCCGCGCCAGAGGGCGCCGCAGCCACTGCAGCCGCGCCGCGCTGGCGGCCGCGCCCAGCAGCACCGACGGGAAGATGCCCCAGAGCACCGCCTGCGGCGCGGAGGCGCGTACGTGGGTGGCTCATCAGTGACTGCGACGCAAAGCTGCGGAGACGAGTGGTGGCAACGCCTGCACGCGAGGCGATGCAATTTGTCTGTTTATCATGTACAACGCCTGCCGGCAAAGCAGCACTGAACGTCCGACAAACATACGTCACTGCGCGACCAGCGAGCCCAGCATGGCACCAGGCGCCGTATGGCGAGCACGCCCCGCCCGGCCCGGCCCCGCCGCGCACCCAGGTGAGTGTGTGGGCTGCGGGTGTGCCGGCCAGGCCTTTCAGCTCTATGATGTTCTGAAGGTTTTCGGAGGGGGTGTTAAGGGGAGGGGCAAGTTCGGCCTTTGGCAGGCGGGCGCACAGCATGGAGAGAGGGGACATATCTGGGACAGGGGGCCGGGGCAGCAGCTTGGCCGGGAGGCGAGGCAACAATGTGGGTCCCCAGGCCGTGCACGACACTGGGCACTGTGATGCCGAGTCATGTCGCCGATGCTGAGCTGCGCAACCAGCCACCCTGGGGACTGTATCGTTGGGCATGGACGGCAGCCGCAGCGGCTGTGTGTCTGCGAGCCCGCCTGCTCCGAATGAAAACACCCTCGCTGCAACCAGCGAGCGTGGCTGCAGCTTACCAGTAGCACGCATGTGTAGACTATGCCGCACCACAGCCCAACCCAAGCGAGATTGATCCAGTCACAGTAGTAAGGCACCTGGTATGGTCGCGGCAGTGAAGCTAATCACTGTGCTGCACACGACACGTGGTTCGCTTGCATAGGCATAGCCGCAGCAGAGGCGCAGCTCGGCCGTGGCTCCCAAGGCACAGAGCACGTCACTCAGGAAGTGACAGCTGCAGCAACGCGTGCACCAGCTGACGCGAGGCGCGAAAGGCCTGGTCTTGAGGGGTGGCTCACCGACGAGAGCAGCTGCAGCGTAATGAGCCCCGCGCAGATGACCATGATGACGCACTGGTTGGTGGGGCTGAAGGTGATGACAGTGGAAAGTATCACCATCACCATCTGTGAAGGGTGGGGAGGGGTTGGGGGTGTCAACGGGCGGAGCGGGGACGGGGCATGCGCAGAAATGCAGGACGTGAACGGGCGCCCATACGTGCTGGGGCGGCCAAGCCTTCCACGCATGCCGGCTGCATTTGTCGAGCCTTGGTGGGCAGAGCCGCCCTTGCCAAGTGACCAAGTGTCTGGAATTGTGCAACGCTGCCACTAAGAGCGCTGCTTCACGTATGCGTTGGGTTTGCTGTGCCCCGCACCTTGAGGGCCACCACCCGGGAAGCGGTGGTGCCATCTGGCGCAGCCAGCAGCGACCTCGTCAAGGGGTTGAGGTCGCACTCGCCCACAGCCTGCAGGGCAGTTTAGTGCGAAAGACGTGGCACGGGCAGGCTAATGTGGGATGTGGCTGCTTGCAGGGTGAGGCTGACATGTACGGTGTGCTGTCAGACCGTCAGCATGCAAGAACTCACGCACTCACAGACGCACACACACACATGCACGCACATATGCACAGACGCACACTCGCATGCACAGACGCACGCACGCATGCACAGACGCACGCACGCATGCACAGGCGCACGCTTGAAACCCGCCGCCCCGTCTCACCATCAGCATGACCACGGCGCCGAGCAGCAGTGCTACGAGGCCCGCCACCACCATGTGCACCAGGTGGGGCATGGCCAGGCAGTTTTGGTCCGTGAAGACCGCGTGAGCCACGTTGCGCGCCGCCAGTCCGTGGGTCCACTGGCAGTTTGCCCTGCACGGGTGCCCGGCGGGCGAGGTGGGGAGAATTGCGGCAGGCAGCAGCCGCAGCAAGGGGGCTGGCAAAATTGAGCCTGCAACTGCAGATCAAGGCGGGACTGCTGGGCTGCCAAGAGGGCCGCGGCCCCTGCCATGGCGACAACTGCACTGCCTGGAGTTTTCCCCGGTGCGGAAGGCCTCCAATGCCTGGTTGCTCCGCCGTGCCGTTCATGTAAGCAGCTGCGACCCCCCTTGGAACTGAGCTGCTTACATGAAGATCTGCGAATGGAAGGCAGGGAGGGGGCACATTCAGCACAACTTCCTGGCAATATGCATCCCGCCATGATGGACCCACGCACAACAGTTCGACAATTACTTGAGCAAAAGAGGATCAGACCATGCTGCCAGATCACAGTGAGGATCTAAGATCTGGGTCGTCCCTCACCAGGTAGTCCATAATGGAGACCCAAGCAATGGACCACATGACCAGCGTCAGCATCTGCAGGGACCCCACCAGCCTGCGGGACGCGTGCGTCTATCAGCCTACAGGGCAGCTGGACAGCGATTGCCGCCAAACGCTTCAACACATGCTGCCATCTCCAAGTGTTGACCCTCACCACGCTTACGCTTTCCGCCGCGTCATGCGGAGCCACCCTGTATACCCACCTGCCCATCCAGCCGCCGGTCGACGCGCTGTCGTCCTTTTTCAGCCGCAGAGCCAACCACACCGCCAGCGCCAGGCTCAGCACGATGAGCGCTGAGATGACGTACACAGCCGTCACGTAAGACTTGTAGCCTGTCAGGGGGAGGGGTGCCCGGTTATGTGAAGCGGGTCAACCTCACTGCATCCCTGGCTTTCCTGCCTGGCTTTGATGCCACAACAATTGTCACCAACCTGACAGGAGCAGAGTGGTGGGATTCGAGTTGCACAAGCAACAACACAGCTTGCGGTCAACGGACTGTATCGCCAGCTGCTGAAAGTAATCGCTTACATACTTTCCTCTGCTTACAATATGGATGGCATGCGTGGTCGCGAATCACTGCCTGTACCTGCTGCCCGCCGGCCACGCACTGCGCGGCCCGGCGGGTCACGTGCTGCCTGCTCACCGAGGGGTATAATCAGCAGCCTGAACAGCAGGGGCCGAATGGCCTTGAACGCCCAGTTGTCGCGCTGGATGGCCCACCTGGGTTGGTGAGAAGCCCCGTCAGGCAACATGGGGTTGCATGATAGAACATAATACAGGCCGCCGCATCGACCTGGCACAGGGGTCGCATGCGCGTGCTCGGAGCTTTTCCTGAAGCGCCTGCCTACGCAGCGCCCTAATGCCCATCTCTCCTGCGGCTGGCTGCTGCTGCTGCTGCTGCTGCTGCTGCTGCTGCTGCTGCTGCTGCTGCTGCTGCTGCTGCTGCTCTGCTGCTGCTGCTTTGACAGGATCACGGCTTCCCCCCCCGCTGCTGTCTGGCCACCCACGAGAACCCGGTGTTGAAGACCACGCGGAACATCTGCGGCAGCGTAGGGGTTGGTGGCAGGATGTTTAGGCAGGAAGTTGCATGAGGTATTACAGGCGGCAGGACCACAACACAGTCAGCCAAGGATCCCATTATTGCCATGTGTCCGAGTTTGAATGAGACAGCATGTCCCGGCCTGTGCAGCGTGCATCTCGCTGCCCCAACTCGTTGCACGCATGCCAGTTTCAAGCCGCCCACGCATCCCAGCAGCGGCACTGTGCCGCTGTGGCTTATCCGCGCAGATGCTGTGGTGTGATGCCCGCGCATGGTCCCGCCCGCTGGCTCGGATGCCGGCTCGCCTGCAGAAACTCCAGGATCATGCGCAGCGCGATCCATCGGATGTCCACATTGCTGGCCCGCTTGGTCAGCAGGACGAGCGTCGCGCAAATCTGACATGGCCCGCGACGCCAGAGGTGTTCACAAAACATGCGAATGGACATTGGGGCATGGAGTGAGCAAGCACGTCACACTTCAAGCTGCAAGCATGGACCGTTCACTGTTTTGTATCTCATGGCACTGCGCATGGTCCGCATGGACGCGAGTGCACTGAAAGATCTTGTGACATGCCGCGTGGCGCCGACAACACCTCAACAGCTGTGGGCGACGGACTCTTGCAAATGCAAGCTCACCGCTTCCCTCAGGCCCCTGTTGCCCTCCAGCAGGTCCGTAATGTCCTCATCCCCGCTGCGGCACCAGGCAGCATTTACATACAGTACATCATATGCGCCCCAGGTGTGTTGCGCTTTCGGCGCACCTGCCGGCTGGTGCACGTCAACATGCGCGTTGTTGGCAAGAGATCAGCTCACCCGCCGTCCTGCAGCGCGTTGAGCGCATCCCCATGCTCCGATCCGGCCTCGGATTCTGACACGCCCGCAGAAGAGTAGGAGTGGGCCGCGGAGGACTGCGACTCCGACATCCTGGCCCTCTTCTGCGTCGATTCCTCTCAACACTATATTCGTGACATGTATGATGCGCAGATCACACGTGGACTGGGGTGATCTACCAGCGCGCGCTTCATGAATTTGTGACGCGCAGGCCGACCTGCCGGAGAGTTGCAGCGTACCGTACAAGAAACTCGTGATGTGGGTGGCACTGCTGTCATGAGTCACCATCGGGTCAAACCTTGGGTCAACACTCCAAAGGCCGTCACTCCACTCCAAAGGCCAAAGGTGGCACTTGGTACCGGTACTGTGTACGTCCCTGAATTGTAAGACAGCTCACTATTCAAGACATTTGGGTTCAAGAGCCGCACACTGCTGTCTGCCACATCTGCCCCTTGTCATCGCTCAAACGTGTGGCTTCAAACTCCGCATTTTCATCCATGTGCCCCTGCTTGCGGCCTGAATCGCTCTCGGCCACAGTCTCGGAATCATAGGTCGCGTTGACACTGCTCCCCTTTCGTCGCCGCTGCTGGTGCCACTGCTGCCTTCCTTGGTGCTGCTGCCCTCCTTGGCAACCAACGGTAATGCGGCCATTAAGCAACAACCTCGCTGGTTGCTGGCCCTAAGCTGCTCTTGTTTGGGCCCCTTGACCAGCAGCTGCCAGAGAATCTTGCAAAAGTCAACACTGATGCCTACTTTGTCGTCTTGCAATCAAGAGGCATACGTTTAATATCATACAGGATTTTTGATTTCCTCTGTGCGCCGGGGCGCCGCTGCGCTGCTCCGCTCCCGCTGACGGCCCAGCTACCCGTTGTCACTTGCCTGGTGGATTTGAGGCGCCAGCAGACGCGCGTGTAGGGTCTATCGGGTCTGCAGGGCGCCGCGGGGGGGGGGCGCACACTGGGCGGATCTCGCGCAGCTGCCACACTTCCAGCTCCCTCAAGCTGTGCATGGCTCCCCTGCAGTGGGGTTGGAATGTCACCAAGCTGCCATGGATTCAAGTTGTATGAATTTGGCGTACGGCCGCCCTCCCACACTCTGACGCTCGATGCATCCAAGCACACATGCTCAAAATCGCATGCCAAAGCCCTGTCCGTGCTGTCTCGGTCATGCCCTTTGTGCATTTGTGAACATTTCAGGGGAGGCCACACTGTTGCGCCAGGTGCGTGCGTGACCATTACTACGTAACCGACCCTCAACGCTGGCGCACTGCATGTTGCACTGCCGGCACACGCACGGCCCCTGAAGCTGTTCAGACCTGGCTACGCACGCAATCTGTGCCTGTGAAAGGCCAACTTCGTTGATCTACACGGGTGCACGATCCTTATCTATTCCGTTGTGACAGATATCGAGCAACTGCCGTGTAGCGCGGTCTTCTCACAGCAGGTGTCCTCGATCACCCCATTTTGGCATTCCAACCTGGCACATAGGCGTGCACGTTCACCCGGCCGGTGATGGCACCCGCGGCGACAGCAGCAGCAGCAGCAGCAGCAGCAGCTGCTGCGGGTGCGGCGCCGCTGGCGCTTGGCCAGGCCGTCCTCAATCTCATGTCCACTTTGAAGCAGAGGCCAAGAGGCGCGCAAGCGGGCGCACTCGCCCGCGCCGCCCCTGCGCTGGCCGCGTTGAAGGCCGCGGCCGAGCGCGACCGCGAGGCCTGGTCGGCGGCGCCCCAGGACCGGCGCGCCGCGGCGGCCGTGCCGGGCCCCGCGCTGCAGCAGCTGGTGGCATGCCTGCGCGCGGCAGACGCGGGCATTGTCCAGGCCGCGCTGCAGGCAGCGCGCGTGCTCGCTGAGGGTGAGCTCGGCGCCGGGGCCGGGCGGCGCGGCTCTGTGAGGGCGCGGCGCGCAAAGCGAGCGTCGCTCGCCCCCTGGAGCGGGCCCGCAAGCATATCCTGCGCACCAATTGCAGGAGACCGATCAGCGGCACGGCCGGACCGCCTGACAGCACCCCTTGCATTCCTGCCTGCCTGGCTTCTACCCTCCTCACTCTGCGCTCGCCAAAGCTCACCCCTCCGCCTACCGGCGACGCCGGCCCACCAACGCGCGCGGCCAACCTTGGTCCCGGCCCAGGCGGCCAGGCCGCAGGCCCCCGGCCGATGCAGCTTGCGTCTGCAGACGGCCTGCTCACGCGGGCGGTCGCATGCCTTGGCAGCGCCAACGCCGCCACCGCGCGCGACGCGGCCGCGGCCCTTGCCGCGGTGATGCTCGGCGGGGAGGGGCCCGTGGGGCTGCTTCTGCGGGAGGAGGGCGCGGCGCCCGCGTTGCTGCGGCTGATGGAATCCGAATCCTCTCAGTTCACACGGTGACTGCCTCGCCGGCCCGCGGCAGCGCCCGCCGCGCGCACGTGCCGCCGCTCGCGGAGCAGAAGCCGGGCTGGGGCCACTCGACGCCGCGCGGCGCCGACCGCGCCCGCGCGCCGCCCCAGGCCCGCACGGCAGCGCACGCCACACGCGTCGCGCGTCGCGCGCCTTGCAGTGCCCGCGCTCACTGCCCTTTCCTGCACCTCCCCCCTCCCCCGCAGCTCCCAGACCCGAGCCGAGGCCCTCACCTGCCTCTCCCTCCTCGTCATTTACGGCGGCGACGCCGCCTGCGACGCAGCCACCGCCACCCCGGCCTTTGCCACGCACGCCTTCGCCCTTTACATTGGCGGCCCCGCGGCCTCCGATGCGGACTGGGACACCCCCACCACAGCCCTCCTGCTCATCGCCCAGCAGCGCCGCGCGCCGCCGCCCGGCGCGCTCCAGCCCGGACGCGCCTACAATTTGCTGCTGCTCGCGCTCGGCAAGGCAGGACGCGCGAAGATGGCGCCCGGCTTCGCGCGCGCGCTGGCGGAATGCAGGAAGGCGAAAGATGACGTCAGCGGCGAGAGCTTAATCCGGCTGCATCACGCCGTGCAGCTGCTGCGCATGCTTGGGGACGACGAGCCGGGCCTGCTGGCCGCGCTGGCGCGGGCGGCACCGGCGGCGGTGTGCGACCTGGCGCACATTGCCAGCGTTGATTACGGAAACGTCTACGGCATCGACGTGGGTTGGCAGTTTTGGGTTCAAGGTTTATGGTTTGCGACCGCCGGGGTTCATCCTCTTCTCTGTGTGTGTGTGTGTGTGTGTGCGCATGCGTGCGTGCGTGTGTGTGTGTGTGTGTGTGTGCGTGCGTGCGCATGTGTGTGTGTGTGATTGGGAGGGGTTGCGGCCGGACAGGGTCGGGGAGCGATAAAGTGGCCTTGCAACAGCTGGCAGGCAACACAGTCAGCCGAAGGCCAGCAGTACAGGTACACATGCCCGGGGATCGTACTGCACACGGCACCGTATTGCCTGCGGGAAACCGAGTGAGGCGGGGGCGTCAGACGGCCGGCAGTGCACAAACGGGAGCCGGCCCCGGGGCGCCCGCTGCGCCAGCGCTGCGCCAATGCCGTGCGGCCACGTTGCCACCGCCGCGGCGTCATCGGGCGGTGCCGCCCCCGAGGGTCTGCCCCTCCCCCTGTCCCCTCCTCTGCGTCCGCGCCCCCCCGTCCCTGCTCCCTCCGGCCCCTATGCCTGAACACCAACCCCCATCCCAGTCGCAACCCTCGACCATACTCCCTCCGCTCGTCTCCCCCCCCCCCTCGGCCATGCCGCCCCTACTCCTGTCGACGGCCGCACCTCGCAGCAATAACCCCCACCCCGACCGCGGCCGCGGCCGTCCGTCGCCCCTCAAGCCTGCCTCTCCACCCAAGCAGCTCCCCTCTCTGCACCCCCTCACCCTGCAAAGCAGCTCTCCCCACA